GCGTTTTTTTCAAAAAAATTAAATACGATAGTATATTTATGTAGCTGATTGTAAAGAGTAGTGAAAGCTTAAAAATTCAGCGAAAACTGCATCTTGATATCTTCTTTCAAACCGAAGATATTAGCTAAATTATAATAACTACCAAAAAATAAGCCCTTAATTACCTTAATTTTACCACACGGTATCAGTAGCCCTTTTAATTATGCCCATTCTAATAAAAAAATAAGATAGAAACAGTTAGTTTATTTTAAAATCGATGATATACCAAAATACCATAATACCAGATGTATTAATAACAGTGAACAAGAAACGATGATTCAGTGAAGTCATGGTAGGCTTTGGAAAAAAATTGCTTTTGACGTAATAGTATAAACGTCAAATTGTTATTAGATCAACATTTTGATAGTCTTAGCCAAGGATACTATAGAGATAAGGATAGTTCGATTCCTATCTTCCTGCACTATCAGTTTTTTTACGTCATCTACTGACCGAGTTGAAGTTGGCGCTAAAGATTTTAGACAGTGACAGTTATTTTTTCATTTGACGGACGAGCGCACAGTGCGTTGGAAGATAAATTTAGCGGTACTAAAGCGTTTGGTTAGAAATAAGCCAAAAAATGTGTACTGATAAGAATAAATAGTAGACATTCCAATTGATACAAAAATGCATGAATATTCTTTGTATTTCGATACATTTTTATCAACCAAATTTGGTCGTTTTCTGCTCAGCAGGGCAGAGATCATACGAAAACAAAATATTTACTAGTGCTTATACATTTTATTAGAAAGCCAAATTATGTTGAAGATTGCCAAAGGTATGTACTTTTCTACTGTACGTATATTATTTGTTAAAATCCTTCGTGCCTTTGTTCTGCAGATATCAAACTTTCATTTTTTTTCAAATATCGATATATTGAATGATGTAGATCTTTTGAGTTACCAATAGTTACCAACACAGGTAGTCACAGTCACAGGGAGTTCAAGCTTAACAGGTGAATGCCCAAAAAGATTAATTTCAATCAGATAGAATAAAAACAAAACAACTCCATCAAAAGGCACTGAGTTTAAAAAATTGTCTTAGATACTTACTATTTATGAATTTACAATTGCCGAGTGTTAAAATTAAAATTAAAATATCTGTCTTATTTATTATTTTCAAAATAAAATATATTTATTTTTTTAAATAAATTATAGAGGGTTTCACAAGATTACAAATTAATTAAAAAAAAACTGCTAAAGAGTTTTTTGATATCATAATTTTATGTATTTGGCAATAGTTTACAATACGGTTTTTGTGTGTCATGTACGAATAATATCATAGTTTTATTATCTTGTATTTATTTATTAATAAATTAAGTTGTTAATAAATAAATAAATTTAACCATATAGTTGCTATATATTAGACCATTTGCTACGTTCTTAGATTTTAAGTCCCAAATATTGCTCTTGAAATTTTGTCCCGCTAGAATAACCATCCGCCGCACTGTGGAGCGCTGGTCAGCGCGTGACGTAGCATTCCACGGCGACTCCGACAGCGGCGATTTGACGCGATCGAACAGTCCTTTAGAATATATACAGTCCTTGAGGGTGCAGTCAAATTCATCTGTCAAAAATTTCAGCCAATAGAATTACTGGAAATCGATTCAAGGTCGTTACGCCGTTACCCCGATACGCCGTTTTTAGGATAGTGTGGCTGCACCCTGAGTCTTAGCAGCGTTTTTTATCTTTTAATTGCTTTTTCAAAATGCCTTTATTATTTGAAGTTGTTGGTTCGAAACATCGCACAGTGGGTCGAGGTATACGGAAATATGGACATTTGCTTTTGTTTTAGGACTATTAGTCTGATTTCGATAATTTTCAATTTTTTTGACCATTAAATATTTCATTTTAGTCTCATCCCAGATTTTTCTAAGAATTCAAGATGGCAGCTTATACAAGGTGGTCCAAACCGTATTCCGGTACTTCGACAGCATATTCTGCAGATAAAAATAAGTAAAAAAGTTCTTATAAATGTATGCCCTTAAATGCTTAGTTTCGGAGATACAGGGTGTAGAAGTTTCATTTTTATTTCGATTTTTTCTAAATAATTTCTGAAGTAACGCCAATATTTGAATGAAAATTGGTGCCTGGGAGTTTTTTGACATAAAAAATTTGATTTTGATGTCAATACGACGCCTATTTGTAGGGGACATAAGTAATAACTTTTCGTCCGTACCTGTATAAAACGACTGAGTAAAAAATTATATATTTCCGTGACTTTTTACATAAAAAATGTCTCTTGGCAAAAATCGCTACGGACAACCGTTCTGGAGATATTTAGAACGGTAATAGTCAATATATTATGTCATTACTGACAAAAAATAAGCACGTCGAGTAGATATGGCGCCGAAGTTTCCGGAATACAGTTCGGACCACCCTGTATATTATACTAAATACAGTATTTTCTAATTGCATGGCGATTTTTACCGACTTACTTGTGATATATTTTCTATACTATTAATTTTGACCATTAACTAACAAAACTTCAATAGTCATATTTATTTTTTAGTAGAAAAATTGCCTGACATTAGCTATCACTTAACAAATATACAGAGGGTTGTACACCCTATACAACACGAAGTATTGTAGCCAAATGATTAGATTTGTGGAAATTATAGGTGATGGAATTGTTGAAGGACTACTAAAGCTACACTTTAAAATTATTTGCAAAAACTACATGTCCCAAATAAATCAAATATAACAAAGTTGTATTTTTTTAAATGGTATACCCTGTATATTATTACATTTTTAGTCTGTACGATTAAAATAATGAGAAATTCGATTAAGGTTTACTGCACTTTAATCTATCCGTTTTTGAAATATTTACGATTTTGTGAAAAAGCAGTAAGAATAATTCTAATGCTTTATTTCTCTACGCATATTTATGTTTTTAAAACCACAAATATTGTACTAAAATACCCTGTATAGGATACAAGACCAAGGCCAAGGAAGCTTTGGTTAGCACACTATCTGAGACAAAATAGAATCAAACCATCTGATGCTATTTTATTTGTCAGTAAATTCTTTCTTTTGCTGTCATACATTTTTTTTGCGATAATAATAAAATTTAAATTTATTGAATTAATAGAGATTTAAGAAGTAAAATCTATACTAATATACAGGATGTCTCAGAAATAAGTGCAAATATTTTAAGGGGTGGTAAATCTCGATAAAAGAAACATATTTTCTCTTTATCGTTTTTCAAATAAGTCCGAATTAACGGAGCTATTTTACTTTGAAAATTTCCAAAAAAATGATTTCTTGCTAAAATTTTGAGAGCCACTGTATCTTTTTTGGATTTTCTTTCTTGTAAATTTAATCTAATACCTATGTTGCCATATTATCAAGAAATTATGTTTTTTAACTAAAAACTAAAAAAAAAATCCAAAAATTTTTTTAAAAAATTTCAAATTTTCAAAATTTTTTTTCGCGAAAAAAACTTCATAGGCGTGTTTCTGTGGTTGAATTATACTACCAGTTAAAATATTTGCACTTATTTCTGGTTTGGTTGTATTTCTGGGACACCCTGTATAAAATCCTTAAGTGACTGACATACTGATAATCACGATCCTGCTCAAACCACTGAACGTAAGAAGCTCAATTTTGGCATACAGGATGATACCTAGGGTGTAGGGGTTCGATAAGAAGGGATTTTTCGAAATTTCAGTTCTAAGAGGGTGAAACCACCCCTCAAATATTACAATATTTTTTATTTAAAAAACGGTCAAGTTTCCGAAAAAACGCTTAAATACGTATATTTTATTTTGTTTTTTTACATATTTTAAGATTTCTTAAAAATGTATACAGGGTGGTTCGAAAAATCTGGTCATTGATTAATCACGATCCTGCTTAAAGCGCTTGACGTAAAAAGCTGATTTTTGGAAAACAGATTGAATTTAGGGTGTAGAGGTTCGATAAGAAGGGATTTTTCGAAACTGGAATTCTAAGGGGGTGAAACTATCCTTCAAATATTAAAACATTTTTTTTTAAGTTTTTCGGAAAAACTCTTAAACACGTATATTTTATTTTGTTGTTATACATATTTTTAGATCTTTTATAAATTTATACAGGGTGTTTCATGAAATATGACCATTGAGTAATCACGATTCTGCTTAAACTGCTTGACGTTTAAAGCTGATTTTTGGCAAACGGATTGACTGTGGGGTGTAGAGGTTCGATGAGGAGGGGTTTCTCGAATCTCAAATTCCAATAGGGTGAAAACGCCCCTCAAATATTACAATATTTGTTATTTAAAAAACGGTTAGTCTGTCGGGAAAACGCTTGGACAAGCATAATTTATTTGGGTTTTTTACATATTTTGAAATTTTTTAAAAAATCATACAGGGTGTTCCAAAAAGTTGGGTAATTTCTTAACCACGATTCTGCTTAAACTGCTTGACGTAAAAAGTTTATTTTTGGCAAACGGATTTTTCGAAAGTCAAATTCCAACGAGATGAAACGAGATATAATAATATCGCCATATTGTTTTTTCTCATATTGACATAAATGTGAGAAAATTTTATCCAGTTTGTATGTTAATGGAAATTCTTGCTTTGCTTTATCATCACCATTACACATGATTAATTCGACGCGAACGAACTAGTCTATGCAGAATAAGACTTTGACGTTTAATATTTTACCAAAAATTTTATTCATCAAAATGTTTTGCAGAAATTTCACAACTGTCTAAAATTTTAGAAGAATATGCTCGAATTTAGCAACTTTGTTTATTATAAAATTTCCACAAAATTTTGATATTTGCATATGAATATTGTCATCATAATGACAACGATATAAATATATTCCATTTGTGATTCAAATTGATGTAATATTTACAATAGTATTTCTACTTTATTGTACTATTGTGTTTGCGAGCTTGCGATAAAAACGATTTTTCTTAAGTTATTTTTCGCTTTTCTATAGGTTGTATTTCCATAAAATCTATTATAAAAACAACACACGTTTTATAAAATAGATTTATTTAAACAAATTACAAAATCACTTAGTACAAACAGTGTATAAATTTAATTGTTTTACTTAAAACAGCAAAAATTTTATTTAATACAATAAATAAATAATACAATAATCTAACAAATCAATAACATTATTAATTTAACAAAAAATTGTAGCAAGAAATTTCACTACAAAATTATATTTATAGTTTTAAATTAAAAAAAAAATCCTGAAATATCTATAATATTCTTCTTCTTCTCTAGATGGTTTTCGTCCACACGCAGAGTTTTACTGGATACGTTTTGACTGAACAGGGAAGACTGACAGGTAAAATGTTACGTGTAGACAAAGCGTGCTGGTATAGTTTTTCTCGTATAAATTTTCTCGCCATACAAGAACACGATTTTTCAAAGCTGTCAAAATTTGTATTTTGTTAAATTTGGTAAAAGATAGGTGTACCTTTAGACTATTCGAAATGGGTACCTGATACATTTTACTTAATTATAATAATTTAATATCATTTAATATATATGTGATATGTCAAAGACAGTTAAGATAGATTTTTATTTCGTGTTTGTTTATCATGAGAAAAAATAAGATTTCTTTCAGAAATCTCAGTCAAATAATACCATTTTGTGTCTCAGTCTCAGTGTTATAAAATTTGTTCCTTTACATATCTTAACATTTAGTTTTCATTGCTAGGTTTTCTGGGTTCTTTATATGGGCAGATTCCAATGGTTTCTCATTTAGTTCTGTAGCATTCCAATTTTGAACTTCTCCACTTCCGAAGATCATGAAAACGAAGTTTGTGACAAGAAAAACACCAAAAGCTATCCAGAATACCAACTGCCATTCAGCTGCAGTGTGCTAAAAAATTATATAATAAAATTAATAAATTAAAAATTAAAGTAATATTTTGATGTCAATTTTTCTTTTAATTTCAGAGAAAAAACTTACATTTTCTGTCAAGGCTCCGACCAAATAAGGTACTATAATCCCAGTGAGCCCTCCAATTCCGTTTACTATAGCCATAATAGTACCAGCATAGTTTGGACTTAGATCCAAAGCATTTACTTTCATGCCACAGTAGAATGTACCCATGAATCCCATTGCAAGCGTGAACATGCCCACTGCCATCATCCTATCACACCCTGCATAGGCTGCAGCCATTATGAAGATCGCTGGACCCATAGATGCTGAAAAGAATAAAGAATATTGAAAACATCTATTGTTAATTTATCTCATTTTGTTTCCTAGTCCACTACTATAATTTTTAGACCTTATAATCCTAGGCGACAGCCTAATATGATTTATTTTCTTAATATCTCCGGTTAGAGACTAGATAGAAAGTTGATGCGCTGATATTTTGGAAATGTTTTATCTATTTTGTTATCTATTTAATTTTTTTATAGAAAAGCGCAATATCTGTTATGATGTCAAACAGCGCCCTCTAGTTACCACGAAAAAATATATGGAAACAAAATTTATACTGGATATCATTAAGGAAGAAAAGCTCTTTTAAACGAGCCCCAGTTTGTTTAAATCGGCTAACCTAAATCAGAGTTATCCTTATTTTAATAAAAGCAAGTTTAACCTTCCCCCACCACTTTATTTTATGAGATAGAGCAAAATACTCTATTAAAAAAATTACAAATTTCTCGATGATTGCAATAGTATTATTTAAAATACCTGTCCACCTGCATATTTTTGAGAAAAACCCTGCTTTCTGATTGGCTATCAGAGAAGGCTAGCTGACATTTTTCAAACTTGAAAATAATTTCCAGCGATTTCTTTTGGTCGATTTACTTATTAGAATTTTTTCCCCAAAGTTGTTTTTTAGATACAGCCAGCGTCCATTCTTAGTTGGCCACCTGGTACAAGGGTAATCTGTGTTCTTTACCTAAAGTAGTGAAAAACTTCCTGGCAAACGAGATCCTCATGTGCTCCTTGTGTATCAACCAATCGCATAGCCATCCAGAACTCATGGACACCACCCACATCAAAATATATGGTACTGACGACCAGAGACCGTTCTCCTTTACGTTGAAATGAAGAACATCTTTCATGTATTTCGGAAGATCGGTTACCATGGTGAAGAAGCCCCAGTCGTGCCCAATCTGGGCAATCACCAGTGCCCAAATGGGTGCAGAAGTCAAAATTGATCTCCATGGGATCACTTTTTCTCTACTGGATATGTTACCTGGAAAAAATATATTACAGAAATATAGAAAAATACAGTTTTTTATTCTTTAAAGTTTCCAAAATACCAAGACCAAGAGAGTCTTTTGAATTTGTTCTTCACTAAAAGTAATATTTTATTTCCTTACTTATGTGCTCAGCTAAGTACATTTTCTCTTTGTCACTGATGAAGGGATGAGATTCTGGTTTGGGATAACAGAGAACGGTCCACAAAATGAACCAAATTATACCCATAGCTCCAAAGAAGTAGAACACAATAGCCCAGTCGTCTGTAGCTGAAATAAGGGCTCCACTAACAGAATTTCCAACTACTGTACCTAAAATGACAAACAGAAAATTAAGAAAAAAACAATATAGGTGTCTATAAATAATGTCATATTATACAGTATGTCCCCGGATTGTCTTTACAAAATGAAAAACCTTTTTATTATTGACATTTTGAGAAAAATGTTTGCTTGTTCTAAAATGGTTAATCCCGTTTAAACTTTTCCGTTTTATACTTTTTTAACACCAGCAAAAAATTTATCGTTAATCTAAATTAATAACAACCATTTATCAAAGAATGAAATCGAAATTATATTGCTATAGAAATGCCGTATGATTTTTAGGATTTCTAGGAAAAAAATCAACTATATATTTATACTCTTTTTTAATTTTCTCTAAAACGGTATTGAAATTTGGCAATTTACAAATGGGATTAACCATTTTAGAACAAGCAAAATGCTTTATGAAGAATGCATTTTCCTAAATTTTAATAATAAAATAGTTTTTTTTTCCATAGCAACTGTTAAAATTGCCTTATATCTGTCAAAAATAGTATATAAAATAGTACTTTAACCATGGTACAAAGAAAACAAGGTATGATCGATAGCGGCTCCAATTTCGTTAAGTTTGCGCATACCACCTGTGACGTCATAAGCCATACAAAAAAAATATTCATATTGTCCAATTGCCACTAATAAAAAAAGACATAAAATAGGGAAGAATTAGGACATAACCCCAAAAGTTATGTCAAATTATCGAACTTGACATTTGAAAAATTATTTTCACATTTATTATGTCATCTGTTTGGTTTGGTTTGACGACCAATGGTGCCGTTTATCACCTGTGACGTAGTGACCAACCTGCGCAATATCATACCTTGTATTCTTTGTATCATGTACTTTAACCACAAGGGTACATTAAATGATACTTTAACAGCGAGGATAGGTTAAAAACTTTATTTCTTCTTGCACGTTTTTTAATTGGTTCCATTTTTGAAAATATTTGTATTCCTTTTCATAAGTTATTCGGGATTTAAATGGAGGTAGTTTGGATATGGCGTTTGTCGCCTCAGCCTGAATATCTGTTGGTAATTTACTTATTTCCTTTTGAGCCATTTCTGGATCCAATTCAATCAGCAATCGACACGAAAGAGAATTAAAAAATATTGACTCAAAACTGACAACTAAAGAGACAGCTTTATTTGTTTGTCAAATTACATAGAAACCAACGCCAACCCAGCACAATATTTTTTCTACTCGTAATAAATCCCTTGAAATAATAATTTCTGAATATTTTTTAAAACGTAACTCGCTATGAAAAAAAATATTGTTTTATACACGACGATAAAATTGCATTGTCTCCCCAATTTAATTCTTTATTTATTAATCTTTTCATTCGACGGCGACGATAAAATACCATTTTATCGTCTTGTTTTAGATACTTTATATGTAGGTATACTAAAATATCATAACTAACATTATATTTATTAAAAACTTACCAATTTGGCTTCCTGCATATACCAGAGTACCAATTTTAGATCGTTCTTTTAAGGGTACCCAATTTGCTAGTAATGTGGTTAAGGCTGGAAAAGTTGTACCCTAAAAACATAACCACCTTTGAAAATTGTATAAAAAAAATTAGAATTTCTTTTGGTAATTTTATGAAGCTTCTAGAAATGAAGTAATTGTTTCACTTCTTCGTATTTTTCCTTTACAGATACTTAATTTTATTTGCATAATTTCAATATTTTGTTGATATTTCGAGCAAAATCTTTGCAAATACAGATTGTCTCAATAATCCGTGTACACAGAACAACTACGTATTTTTGGAATCAAAATATGTTAGTTGGGCACAATTTTTCTCTATACAAAAATGCATCGTTTGTTTGTTAGAGGGCGTCAATCAAAAATAAACTTGAACCTCGAACGTTAATTAATTTACGTTAGCTAATAAAAAAATGTCTTCCTCTAGGAGATGCGAAACCTTGTCGTCAGGTGCTAGGGAGGAATCCCCTCTGGCACTTTAGCTAGGTCTAAGAAGCATCTCACTTTATTGTCTCTGTCTCCTGTCTGTATAGTGTCGTGACCAGGGACTTGCACCCAGACGTATAACGATGCCAGATGGGACTACCTATTAACTTATTTTGACTTAAAAATACGTAGTAGTTCTATGTCCAGATATTTTTAATTTTATTTCCCATTTGGGTTTCCTTTTAAACTCATAAGAAACATCAAAATTACAAATTACTTACTTCTCCCAATCCTTCCAGGAGCCTGACTATAACCACCCATATCCAGTTGCCATCGGTGGCATAGATCACAAAAGGGGTGATAAATGTGAACACTGCCGTGCACAGCATCCCCAATCCCAAGGAGTACTTTCCTCCGAACCTTTCGGCTATCATACCGCCTGGAATATGCGTTATTACGTACCCCCAATAGAAGGAACTTAGAATGAGACCTTGCTGTCTGCTGGTCCAGGGGTATAAATTGGAAGATCTCTACAAAAGAAGTAGTGTTTTTTAAGTTTTAGTAGAAACATTTCGAAAATATTGCAAAAATTATTAAATTGTGAAAAAAAATGAAATTTCAAGTTATTTTTATCAACATTTATAGTGACCGTATAAATATTAGATATCTTTATTTCTATAATCAAATCACTAAAATAAGTGACTTGATGTTACGTAAGTGTGTTGCAAGACTTTTTGAAGTTAAACTTCTTTACGCACGTTGGGAGTGAAAATACAAGGCCGTGACACACGCATATTCATTGAAGGACACTGTCATATTTATTTCAAACCAATATAAGCAACGAGAATATTCGTATAATTTAATAAAATTACTGTAAATCACTATAAATAATGAATTGTTTCTAACTGAACTGTAATTTCGGTATTATTAATCCGGTAAATGAGGGAGATAAACAATTGTGATTGATTCAAATTTTATTTTATGATGAAACTTTTGTTAACAACATTCTGAGAATTCGAATAATGAATTGAATAATGACACGACAAGTGACATCTGCCTAAAAAAGACAGCGATTTAGAGTGACAATTTGGTTATGTAAAGAGTGACAATTTGGTTTTGCAAAAGAAATACTGGTTGCAATTAACATTATTTTAAAAATAAATCCCCAACATGAATAATGAACAAAACATTTAAACAAAAACAGACCACACAAAACAAATTGTTGGTTAGTAGCAGTTAGTAGTAAGCACTAAGGGCTGGCAAAGGTTAGTCTTGGGTCGAGATTTTCGTATGTAAGAAGAGTACAATGGGCGTTTATAATGTACTGAACAAAGAGAGGACAGTAAACACGTTGCCAAACGTATGAAATATACCGAGAAACTGTGAACATCGCTAAGAGACGGGAAGGGGATATAGCAGATTTGTCGCAGTTGACCGGTCGACCCAATCAATACCTCTGTCAGTACTTAAAGTTCTAGGGAGAGGTGTACGTCATGCGTTCAGCTTCACAATTTAATTACGTCTGGTGATACTTAATTTGTTTATTTATTAACGAGTCGTTGTAATTTTCCCTATAGCTTGAGTTTTTTTAAGTGCAAGCTAGAAACACTTGCATTTTTGGTAAAAATAAGTGGAATTGAGTGAGTGTTCGATAGTGGTCGCGCTATTAAAAGTCTGAATTCAAAAATCGATATCACGAAATAATAGATTGTAGTTTTTCAAGAACTTTGTTAATATTTCTGCTGTGTTTTCTTTGTAGACAGTGTGTGAAAATCTTTATCAATAAAAAAATTACACAATTGCTGAAAATTGCTATGCTCTAAAAGTAAATGGATGGATTGTTTACAATTTTTGAATGGAAAAACCTTATCGAATTTTTCTTATGTAAACATATTGTAAAATATCCGATCTTGAAAATAAAAAAAAAGTTTCAATATCTAAAGTGGTTCTTGAGTTATGGCCTGTTATGTGTTAAAAAGTTGAGTTCTTAAATTATCGCGATTACTGACGTTTTCCCGTTATAAAAAAATAATACCCTACCGATATCCTTATAATTCCATTTCAGATGCTCAGAAACATGTCTAATGACTTTATCTAGTTATCTCTTGGAAAAAACATCTTAAAAATAAGCGGTTTGCGATCGTGATTTTACTTTACTTGATAGGGAAAGGCGTATCGGCAACGCCGCAACAGCACACGCATTTTTTTCGCATTTCTCTCACTCCGACTTAATAAGATCCCTATGCGATTTACTTCCACACATGTAAATGCCGACCCAAAAGTAACAGTTGCCAGCACGGTATATTGGAGGTGTTAAACCAACATGTTGTGCCGTACGCGCCATATATAGGGCGAGGTTTTTTGTTGATGTAAGATAATGCCAGGCCTCACATTGCTCGAGTTGTAAGAAACTACCTAGAGGAAGTCGAAATCGATACTATGGCATGGCCAGCTCGAAGCCCGGACTTAAATCCTATAGAGAATCTTTGGGACACTCTTGGGAGGAGATTACAGGAGGAACGCAACTTGAATACTTCGAAAGACGTACGGCAAAGTTTTATTCGCATATGGGAAGAACTGGACCAAAATAACATAAGATCTCTAATTTTAAGTATGGGCCGTCGTTGTCAAGCAGTAATTCGTGTCAGAGGCGGAAATACTAACTACTGATACCTCAGTTTAAATTGTTTCATTGAATTTCGTTTCGTTGTTTTTTGTTAATAATTTGGAATAAAATTATGTTATCCTATTAAATTATGTTTCTAATGTAATAAGAAAGATAATGGAGTAAATAAAAAAACAAAATGTAAAAAGAGATAAAGCTAAAATGTGAGTTCTGGTTTTTTGTCTGGCTGCTAGTTTGGCAAACTTTCAATTATTGAATTCAAAAAAGGTGCTAAATTCTTGATGGCGGTGTTTTTATAGGACATCGTAGCACCTTTTACGTTTTGTTTTCCTTGAGCAGCACGAATCGCGAATGTGTGCCATTGCTAATTGTTCAATTAATTAACAGCGACAATAATTGAATTGGGATTTTTTACAAATGAGCGTAATGTAATTCATACTTGTAACAATTGGCGAGTGTTTCATGAGACAATATGTGGTGCGTAACAAAAGTAAAAAAAAAACCCTATAACATTTTTTATTTTTCCAGATAAAAAAATGATATTTGGTATGTTGGTATATGACATAAATTAGAATTGATTGACGTATTCAAATGGTTTCGTTCACTTCCTGTTTCACCGGAAATAAATACAATTTTTGATTTTTAAATTACACTCTCGGTATTTTTTTACTTTCTTCGATAGAAAATGAGACTCTGGATTAATGACATATCATATTTCTACTGTTGACATTTCGCGTATGGTTTATTTGAAATAATAACTTGCGGTTTATAACGAAAATTTGACTCCAAACACCAAGTGTGTGGTACCAAATTTTTTGTAAAAAATGCTATTTCCAAATATGTTAATGAGCCACCCTTGTTCCATTAGAAAAAATTGAGATATGATTAAAAAACGATTTAGATACCTTTTAAACAGCCAGGATCAACCCACGAAAATCATTAGACGATCAAATCTATTTTTCCAAGGCTCCTTGATTAAAAAGTAGTGTTTTTAACACAGTCATGACACTATAGATTGAAATTTAAATTACGATTTTCTTTTAAACGCCAAAAGTTTTTCATATGATATGTCATTCTATTCAGAGTGTCATTTTCAATGGAATAAAGTAAAAATATACCGAGGGTGCCCTTTAAAAATCAAAAGCTGGAGTCATTTCCGGTGAAACAGGTGAAACAGGACAATTGAATACGTCAATCAATCCTAATTTATGTCATGTACTAACATACCAAATCTCGTTTTTTTATACAAAAAAAATAAAAAAAATATAGAGGGGAACCACTTTTGAAATGCTCCCGGTATAAGATGTATTGTTTAAGATGTATTGTTTATAACCACCCACCATTTTTTGGATATTTAACTTATTGAATCTACATTATACAGGGTGTCCCAGAAATAAGTGCAAGTATTTTAACTGGTAGTATAGTTTAACCCTAGAAACACGCCTATGAGGTTTTTTTTGCGCAAAAAAAAAATTGGAAATTCGAAATTTTTTGGAATTTTTTTTAGTTTTTAGTTAAAAAAAACATAAATTCTAGATAATATGGCAACATAGATAGTATTAAATTTACAAGAAAGAAAATCCAGAAAAGATCCAGTGGTTCTCAAAATTTTAGCAAAAAATTACTTTTTTTGGAAATTTTCACAGTAGAATAACTGAAATAACTCCGTTATTTTTTACTTATTTGAAAAACGATAAAGAGAAAATATGTTTCTTTTGTTAAAGATCTACCACCCCTTAAAGTACTTGCACTTATTTCTGGGACACCCGGTATATCTATCATCTGTATTGTTAAAAATGTATGAATGTTGAAAAAGTGAATTAGTGAATAGACTAATTATTCATTTTATTATTAACTGTTTTTTATAATTTTTTATAATAGAAAAAGGAAATAATTCTATAATTTTCTTTAAAAATTTGATTTTTCTTTTAATATTAATTATTAGGTGTGTCTTTAAACCCAAATTGGTGTATTTATATAATTTTTTACCACACACGAGTATAATCATTTCAATTACTTTGAAGCGTATTTTTTAGTATTTCTCATAACAACACACATAATTTTAAATCATTTCCTTATATTTTGTATTAGGTTAGTTCCTAGGTGTGTCAGTTTTATGTGCATTGCCATTATTATTTACATTTTTCTACATATGTACATGTAATCACTCCAATCAGGTGCTGCACAGATTATTTTTTAGCGTTTACTATAATAACAGTTAGTTAATTTAATTGTTTTTCTTACATTTAGTGTTATGTATAATTTTAAGTTATTTTTTTAAATCAAAGTAATTAAAAAATTTAAAATGCACTAATTGTTTATTGCCTTGACTAGCTAACGCTGATACAGAATCTCCCCACGAGAGATGGCACATGTTTTTTGAAACACCCTGTACTGGGTGGCGCCTCTCATACGCCGCGGAAGCTCCAAGGAGAACTGTAGCTTATATCAAAATTAAATTTTGGCAACATATGTAGGTTAACTGAAAGCATTTTATAAAAATATATTGAATTCTACAGGGTGTCCCCCAAAAAAGTTACACATCAAAGTTGTGTTTTTTCTAATGGAACACCTTATACAGGGTATCCCAGAAATGAGTGCAGATATTTTAAGGGGTGGTAGACCTGGTCAAAATAAACATATTTTCTCTTTACCATTTTTAAAATAAATTGAAAATAACCGAGTTATTTAACTTTGAAAATTTAAAAAAATAATCGCAAGATTTTGAGAACCGCCGGCAGATATCGCCAACTACATCCAATTACCCGGATCAAGCCCGGATTTCAGTTAATTCGACGCACTGTGTTGCCATAGGGACAAAAAAGTATATGTTAAAAGTAAGTCATAAAATCACAACACCTGAGGAGTTTGCAGAGATGCATTACATTTTTAAGATTGTGATATTATTACATAAAATAAATTAAAAGTTAAATGTTTAATAATGTGTTAAAAAAGTTAAAAGAAGTTAAATTAAAAACTTATCCAACATTAAAAAAGATACTTATGACAGATCGATGTAACTGTGACTGAGTTCTCTTTTTCGATATACACTTAACTAAAATACACTTCACTGTGCTGCTTTACTTGTACATGCTATTATAATAACTACTAAAATAACAGTCCCCATTTTTAACACATTATTTTCATATAGGCCTCATCACAATTTGAACCACTGATTTACAAAACACCTTGAAAAGCACACATTACTTCGAATACCTTTCTGAATGAATAAATGTTGAGAATTATTGTCTCTTACTGCCACTTTCCGAACTACTTTCAATATAAGAAAATACATGTTTCACTCAACAATTTTAAATACGTATTTTGTTTTTTCGCTATTTTTTCTATGTATTTCAACAATTCCATCGACAGCCCAAAAGTCGCGTCGGCCAAGAGAGCCGCGCATCATTGGTAACTGCTCCTTTGTCGCGCCGCCGTGTCGAGCTTGCGTCATGCGAGGTTGCCGTAGTTTCAACAATTTCAAATTCAAGACACTCGAAGCAATCAAATTCTTATTAAATTTTACAAATAAAACAGAAAAACATGAAAGGAAACAAACAAAACACAAATTAATTGGTTATTGATAAGGTCACAAAAAAGAAATTTCTAAAATTTTTATCGTAATTCAGAATTCAATACATCGAAAACAGCCCGACGAATAATCAATTCATTTTTGTTTTGTTTATTTCCTTTCATGTTTCTCTGTTTTATTTTTAAAATTTAATACGAATTTGATTGCCTCGAATGTCTTGAATTTGAAATTGTTGTAACTACGGCAACGTTGCTTAACATCGTCGTCTGACGCAAGCCCGCCACGACGGCGCGGCGACCGGCGACTCAAAGGGCCAGTTCACACGCGGCAGTTCTTGGCTGACGGTAAGGCTGTCGATGGAATTGTCGAAATACATCGAAAAAATAGCGAAAAAACAAAATACGTTGTCAATAATTGTTGAGTGAAACATGTATTTTCTTAGACTGAAAGCAGTTCGTAAAATGGCGATAAGAGACAATAATTCTCAACATTTATTCATTCAGTAAGGTATTCAAACTAATGTGCGCTTTTCAAGGTGTTTTGTAAAACAGTGGTTCAAATAAAACAGAGAAACATGAAAGAAAACAAACAAAACAAAAATGAATCGATTATTTGTTGGGCTGTTTTCTAAATTTCTTGAATTGAATTCTAAATTACGATAAACATTTTAGGAATTTCTTTTTGTGACCTGATTGTGAATAATATGAATCATTTTATTAAATTTATTCCAAAATAAAGTTATTTTGCAGCATAACAAAGATTTTCGTAAACGTCATAAACGTAATGTTTGGTTTGGTTTGGTTTGATTTTCGGTGGTTTTTGTTAAGTTTTCATTGAAAGGGTAAGTACTAAAAATAATTAATGTGTTTTTTTTCCTATAATTATTAATAATGAGCACTGATAAAATATTAAATTTAACATTCCTATTTTTTTCAGTAGAAATTTGTCTATGAATTTATAAATGTAGAACTATGTTCCGCCGAACTATGTAGAATGTGGATAACATAGGTGGTTGCAACACTGCAAGGTTTAGATACACCGTAGGGAAATCTTAGGTGAATAAACAAGTGGCACTAAAAAGTTTTTTCAAATTTCCCGGAAAATGTCAAGAAAAATTTTAAATTTTCAACATTTTTTTTCGCAAAAAAACCTCATAGGCGTGTTTCTGGGGTTGAACTATACTACCAGTTAAAATATTTGCACTTATTTCTGGGACACCCTGTATATTAAATGATTTTTGGATTCTAGGAAAAAAATAAAGGTGAGTTTTATTAAAGAAGCATATACCTAAAATCTAAGGATTTTGACATATTTCACATTTTGTGAAAATGAAGAGAATAGGGAGCTACCTAAATTTTAGTTGACCTTGTATAGCCTGATCTTTAATTATTACAGTAACCATTGTAGGTTAAACCAAATTGAAATTTGACACGAAAAGTTATACAGGGTGAGACAAAATTAATATGGAACATTAGTCACTTTTAAAAGCAAGTTACTCCTTTATTTTAAATGGAACACCCAGTATATTATTCCGGTGTTCAATGGGGAATTTATATATCTTCAAAATATTATTAAGGTTTGGTTTGGTTTTGGTTGGTCTACCCCTCAGACAAAGATTTTTTTTCTTTTTTGCGTCAGTAGATCTTTATTATTTGAAAAAATCTAGGGGTGGGGGGTGGCTGTGATATACCTTTTTTTAATTTAACAAAAATTAAAGAATGTAGAGTAAAATGCTCAACGGTAATAAGAAAATAAGCGTTTAAAACATATTTTAATTATTACAGAATTAAAACTAGATATAAACCTATAATTATGTGACAAAAATTAGCTAGATGAAATCAAAGGCTCAAAATGCTTCCTTTCCTATTAGCTGCATAAAATGATTATCTTCAAAAGGATCTTTTCATTTTAAAAGGCATAATATTATATTGGAGTTCTACCTCGAAAAGCAGCTACAATAATTATTTCTCTCACGTTGTCGACAATAGTTAGTCGAGTTTTGTAAACACTGTCTTTAACATATCCCCATAACAAATCCAAACTAGATAAAATCAGGAGCAGTATTCTGTTAATTGGCGAATGCACAATGCCATTCACCGACTAATAGAATCATATCAATTCTCCCTGACATGACGTAGGATAAGTTTGCAATTTCGGTAAATTTCTGAGACATTTTTTTTAACTGACACAAAATGAAAACTAGTTCTTAAAGTTGGACTATTTAGACAGCTATGTTGAAGTAACGTCAGACCATATTACAGCCACCTAGATTTTATCAAATAATAAAAATCTACTCAGATCAAATCACGTAAATGAAAATATCTAGGAAAATCTTGGTTTGAAGGGTGGGCAACCTTAATAGTATTTTGAAGAGACATGAATTCTCCATTGAGTATCGCAATAATATACTGGGTGTTCCATTTAAAATAAACGAGTAACATTCTTTTAAAGGTGACCGATGTTCAATATTAATTTTGTCTCACCCTGTATAACTTTTTGGATCAAGTTTTAATTTGATTTAAAGTATAATAGTTAATTTAATTACATGTTAGGCTATACCGGGTAATTTCTAATTTAGGTAGCTTTTATTGTAATTTAAAAATTGTTCTTTATTCTTAGTAAATGTTAAAACGTCAAAAACGTTACATTTTAGTCATATATATAGTTCTCTTATAAAACTCACCTTTATTTTTCTCTCAGAATCCGAAAATCAAATAATATATAGGGTGTTCCATTACAAAAAACAAAACATTGATATGTAACTTTTTTTGGGGACACCCTGTAGAACTCTCTATATTTTTAAAAAGTGCTCCGAATTAACCTACATATGCTCACAAAATTTCATTTCAATACAAACTGTCGTTCTCCTTGAAGCCTCCTCGGCGTATGAGAGGCGCCACCCTGTATATTAGTTAATTTGGTTTTTACTATACTTATAGCTTACTATATCATGAGCATTGGTTTCATTCAGCTCCCAGTCAATTATACACGAATGTGTATCCAAAGTCTGGTTATGTTGGGTAGGCAGTACCATTTCTGTTATGGCTACGGAGAGTACCACCCTCATGGTATATGCATTTACTACAGCTAGGAACCCCATTATGCCCAGTATATATCTTTGAGGTATTATAAATACTGAAAAAAAAAACAGAAAATTAATATTTGGGTCAACTTTCGTTTAGCTGAAATCAGTTATTAGAAAAAAAAATTGTCTTTAAAAAGCTACTGTGCACCACGGAAAACACAAATTTTCCTGCGGAAATGCGTAATTTCCAAATTTCTCACTTTAGAATAACTGAAATCTGCTATAAAAAAATACATTATGCGTTTTATTTTATTAATATTTTTCTGAACATACATGGTTGTTCGACGACAGGGATACGACACGGAGTATTGTAGCTAAACGATGAGATTTTTACAAATTGTAAGTTTGGGGTTCGTTGAAGGACTATTAGAGCTACAATTTAAAAATATTTTTACAAGATACAGAGTGTCCCAAATAAATAAAAAATATCAAAGTTGTATTTTTTAAATGGAACACCATGTATATTATTACATTTTTAGTTTCTACAATTAAAATAAAGGTAAATTTGATTAAGGTTTATTATACTTAAACCTTACCGTTTTTGAAATATTTTCAATTTTGTGAAATTGCAGTAAAATTTATAAAGCTTCATTTCTCCAAGGGTATCAATGTTCTTAATACTAAATATTTAATGAAGTTTATTTATTGATCAGTTATTGGGTTGCAATAATAAAAATAATACTACCTTACACAGAGTGTCTAAAAATTTATTTTAAATAATTATTAGCTTTAAACGGCAATAACTTCTTTAATTTAAATGAAATGCCCTGTATATTTTAGAAGAATCAGATGCACAATTAAATTGTCTATCAAATTGTATTATACCATTTTTTACCTATCCCTTCAAGTTTTCGTAGAAAATGCATTTTCTTATAATTTAGACCTCATTTATCAATATATCCATGGAATATTGACATTTTAGATTGTTTTAAAGCAACAAATGTACAAAATGTACAGACTAGTAATATTATCGTTTTTAGCAAAACGATAATATTACTAGCCCATTTGTATGCAAAAGAAAACTATTTAAATCTTTTTAAAGAGTATACCATTGATTAAATATAACACCATTATTTCCGCCCATATACTAATTAATTACATACTTAATTGTGTTCGTTAATAAATTATTATAAATAAATGTGGATTTGAGTCAGAAATCAATATAATAATAAGTTATCAAATTAGTCTCTGTTGTTATAAATAAGCATTTATTAAAAATGAAATATCTTTTTAAGGTGTTACTTTTTATCACACTGTCTAATGCCCATACAAAATTCAGTTTTTAGTATTTGGAGCAATTATTATTAATCAACGCAAACAGTCAGTTAATGTAGTTTGAATACTGGAATCATATTAATTGATCCTCTTTAACAAATATTTAAACAGTTTTTTTTATTTTTAATGAAATAAACGAATTATATCGACAATATTAGTATCTGTACTCTTTAAAAATTTGGTACATCTTTAAAAATAATCTAAAATGTCAATAGTCCATGGGTATATTGATAAATAAGTTCCAAATTACAAGAAAATGCATTTTCTTTTCTGAAACTTAAAGAGATAGGTAAAAAATGGTATAATATAATTTGATAGACAGTTAAATTGTGCATCTGATTCTCGTAAAATATACAGGGTGTTCTATTTAAATTAAACAAGTTATTGCCGTTTGAAGCTAATAATTATTTAAAATAAATTTTTACACACTCTGTATAAGGTAGTATTATTTTTATTATTGCAACACAATAACTGATCAGTAAATAAACTTCAGTAAATATTTAGTATTAAAACTTTGATACCCTTGGAGAAATGAAACTTAAAATTTTACTGCAATTTCACAAATTTGAAAATATTTCAAAAACGGTAAGGTTTAAGTATAATAAACCTTAATCAAATTTACTTTTATTTTAATCGTAGAAACTAAAAATGTAATAATATACAGGGTGTTCCATTTAAAAAAATACAACTTTGATATTTTTTACTTATTTGGGACACTCTGTATCTTGTAAAATTATTTTTAAATTGTACCTCTAATAGTCCTTCATGGAACCCAAAACTTACAATTTGTAAAAATCTCATCGTTTAGCTACAATACTCCGTGTCGTATGTGGTGAACAACCCTGTATAAACACAAAAAAATTCTTGCGGAAATAAGCTGTTTTCATTTTCTAAGGAAATTTATTAGACTTCAGAAAAGCTGATATCAGTTATATAAAAAATACATATATTTTTGCCTATTAGAAGCATTCACGAATTGAGGAAAATAAAAATTTTCCTGTGGAAATAAACTGTATCCTTCTTCTGAGGAAATTTAATAGACTTTAGAATAGCTGAAATCAGTTATATAAAAAATAAATATATTTTTGCCTTTTAGAAGCGTTTACAAACTCAGGAAAATAAAAAATTTCCTGCGGAAATGCTTGATTTTCATTTTCCATTTTTGTAAGCATAAATACATAAAAAATTATCTTTTTATCACTTTTGAACCAAAAAAAAATAATTTAAAAGTGTCTAAAATGCTAACCAATCTAATAATAAATCTAATAATATATTTGCAAAATCACAGTTAATTATTAAAATATAAAAACCACAGCTTAACACCCTCCACAAAGAAAAGCTAACCAAAACAACCCAAATGCTAACCAATCTAATATTTTTGCAAAATCACAGTTAATTATTAAAATATAAAAGAAAACTGCAAGATCCAATGATTTTTTTGTTTTGAATCAGCCCTATTTACGTAAAGCTTTAATAAAAAACAAGAAGAAGTAACATTCCGAGGTACTTATAGGGTTTACAAGAACCTATATTATTTATTCTACAAGAATTCTTATTTCTCCGAAAGATGTTTGCCCCACCCAGCACCCCTATTCGCTCCCGGGTCCCGGAAGCTTCTAAACTGAAACATGTATGAAAAACAAAGTGCACAAAATGTCTGACACATTTCCGCAGGAATTTTTTTGTATTTCTTTGCTCGTAAAGGCTCGTAAAAAACAAATATAAGCTCATTTTTCATGTAACTGATTTCGGCTATTCTAAAGTCAAAGCATTTTTTTATGTAAAATAAAAATAAAAAATTTCCGCAGACACTTATTTGTCTTTTGATGTTTAAAAAAATGTCTAAAACACACCCCGAAGACTAGTTTTATTGTAACAGATTTCGGCTATACTAAAGTCCGAAAAATGAAAATGACGCATATTCGCAGGAAAATTTTTGTATATTTGTACTCCTAACGCCTTCTGAACGCATATATAAAGTCATTTTTTATATAACAGATTTCAGCTAAACGAAAGTTGAGCCTTTGATAGGTACATATTTTTTTTTAAGCATAAAAAAAAGATGCATAATATACAAATATGTAGATATGTTAAATAATGCACTCTATAGGTTCAAAGAAATATATTTAAAATTAAGATAAGACACTGATTGACTTCTGGTATCCTTGAAGCAAAATCACAATTAATTTATTAAGTAATATAATAACTGAAATCGAAACCAACTATTTACGGTAAATATAAGAAATAATAATTACAGGTACCGCACATGTGTGGTACTTGAGTTCAGTACAGTAATTAAAATATTTATGTAGAGATATGCAGGTAGTAATAGTAATTAGATTGCGTTAAAAAAATAAATTCACAGATACATCCATTTTTGTTTAGGAGAGGTGTGATTAAAATAAAGTTGGTAAAGAAAAATATTAATATGATTAATATTTTAATCTACCCATATTTTCATTTGGGTTTTGTTATTGTAAAAGGTGTCTCATATACAAGAGTGCACACTACAGACAGAAAAGACATTCTAATAAATAATACAACTGGAAATAGTAGAAGAATATATTATGAGACAACTAGTATACAGTTCAGGATATACAGGGTGACAATTTGAAAACGAACAGTATTTAATATTGCCTCTACCGATGATAGTATGAAAATTTGGCGAAACACGTCAATTTACATATGAAGGGGGACATTTTTGAGGCATTTGCTGTCGTGTTACTTTCAACCCCTTGACCCCCAGGGCACCTACCCCTAAAATTTTAAATAGCAACCCCTATTTCTTTTACCATTTTTGTGTTTCTTATAGAATTCTACATAAACTGCATTATTTTTTTAAGAATTTTATAAGGAACACAAAAATGGGGGTGGCCATTTAAAATTTTAGGGGTAGGTGCCTTGGGGGTCAAAGGGTTGAAAGTAACATGACAACAAATGCCTCAAAAGTTGTCCCCCTTGATATGTAAATTGACGTATTTCGCCAAATTTTCATACTATCATCGGTAGAGATAATATTAAATACTGTTCGTTTTCAAATTGTCACCCTGTATACTACCAGGAATCGACAGAAGAATTTAATTAACATGGAGTAATTATGGAAGAAATCATACTCAAATCTAAAATTCCACTTTATCTAAAGAAGAAAACAGTCAATCCCTTTTCCAAAAATCAGCTTTTTTCGTCAAGCGCTTTAAGCTGGATCGTGATTAATCAACGACCAGATTTTTCGAACCATCCTGTATACATTTTAAAAGAATCTTAAAATATAAAAAAAATAAATATACGTGTTTAAACGTTTTTTCGGAAACTTGACCGTTTTTTAAATAAAAAAAATATTGTAATATTTGAGGGGTGGTTTCACCCTCTTGGAACTGGAATTTCGAAAAATCCCTTCTTATCGAACCTCTACACCCTAGAATCAACCTGTATGCCAAAATTAAGCTTTTTACGTTGAGTGGTTTGTACAGGATCGTGATTAATCAGTGAGTGGATTTTATATCTACATATATACATATAAAATGCTAATGTTTATCTGTGTCGTCTCTACTGAAGTAACGACTTGCTCTAGAAAGTTGCTTTTTTTACAAAAAGATAGCTAATTGGCTCTTCTAAAAACTGTCGTCGCCGGATTTTTTGTTTTTCATTTAATTATAAAAAAATAAAAAGTATTTTTTTTCCTGATGTGGTGGATGCGCCAGGCTTCAACTAGTATTAGTATAAATATGTATTTCCTGTTCAAAAAATGGGATTTGTCGCAAAGGAAATTTCGGTT